CAAGAGGAGTATCTCAGGGGTCGGTCCTGGGGCCAGTTTTGTTCAACATCTTTATTAATGGTCTGGATGATGGGATGGATTGCACCCTCAGCAAGTTCACAGATGATACTAAGCTGGGGGGAGAGGTAGATAACCTGGAGGGTAGGAATAGGGTCCATAGACAAATTGGAGGATTGGGCCAAAAGATATCTGATGAGGTTCACCAAGGACAAGTGCAGAGTCCTGCACTGAGGACAGAAGAATCCCATGCACTGCTACAGGCTGGGGACCAACTGGCTAAGCAGCAATTCTGCAGAAAAGGACCTGGGGATTACAGTGGATGAGAAGCTGGATATGAGTCAGCAGTGTGCCCTCGTTGCCAAGAAGGCTAACGGCATACTAGGCTGCATTAGTAGGAGCATTGCCAGCAGATCGAGGGAAGTGTTTATTCCCTTCTATTCGGCACTGGTGAGGCCACCACTGGAGTATTGTGTCCAGTTTTGGGCCACCCACTACAGAAAGGATGTGGACAAATTGGAGAGAGTCCAGCGGAGGGCAACAAAAATGATCAGGGGGCTGGGGCACATGACTTATGAGGAGAGGCTGAGGGAACTGGGCTTGTTTAGTCTGCAGAAGAGAAGAGTGAGGGGGGATTTGATAGCAGCCTTCAACTACCTGAAGGGGGGTTCCAAAGAGGATGGAGCTCGGCTGTTCTCAGTGATGGCAGATGACAGAACAAGGAGCAATGGTCTCAAGTTGCAGTGGAAGAGGTCTAGGTTGGATATTAGGAAACACTATGTCACTTAGAGGTTGGTAAAGCACTGGAATGGGTTACCTAGGGAGGTGGTGGAATCTCCATCCTTAGAGGTTTTTAAGGCCCAGCTTGAGAAAGCCCTGGCTGGGATGATTTAGTTGGGAATTGGTCCTGCTTTGAGCAGGGGGTTGGACTAGATGACCTCCTGAGGTCTCTTCCAACCCTAATCTTCTATGATGTGCTCTGGAAGGGGTGTGTGATTGAGCAGCAAAGTGCTGACAGCATCTGCACAAGAGCCCCACAGTGGAGATAGCGATGGAGCTGTCAAGAGATAGGAAGCAATTGGGAAACTGAGGCCGCAGACACTTGGGATGTAAGACCCTGTGACACCCAAAGAATGTGGGTGTCGCACAACTATGGAGTCAGTGCAACTAGTGCAACTGTGTTCAGAACCTCTTAAGTGCTTGCTGACGGTAACATGGCTGGAGAGGTTTGCATGGGTGGGGGACACAGAGAATAATATCAGAGCAGACTCCCTCTGCCCAACTACTTACCAGTCCCTTTGAAAAATATCTGCCAGGCCACTTCTACCTGCCAGATTCCTACCCCCAGCCTTCCTTGCCTGTATCCCCTCTCCTCTCGCCCCTTCCTGCTGGGTTGGATCATGGCTGTAACGGCCCTGGGCTGCAAGATAACTGGGTACGACCCACCCATTGTCAAATTAAACTCACCCCTTAAATCTGGGCTGATTATGGACTAGAGATTGCTCTCGACCCCAGCTGCTCTGTGCTGCTCCGAAGGTGGATAGCAGCTGGGTAGCTGCTTATCTGATGTAGTGTCTGCGTAGCTGCTCCTGGCCCTGGGGAAAGGGTGAGGGCCAGGTTACCCTTGTGCTCCAGCTGCTCCTTGGGCTGCTTTACCTTACACCAAGGACCAGAATCCAGGGATTCCAAGGATGGTGTAGTCGTCCCCTCCCCCTGGAGCCGGGCACAGCACACAATCTGTGCTTTATGGTTTTCCATCGACATCTGAGCCTTGTTTACAATGAGGAGCATGGGACAGACAGACATGGTCCGGTTACCAGCGGGCACCACTGACCATCACTTCCCCTGGCAGAAAGTACGGCAGGCCCCTCACTCAGCATGATCTAGCTGGAATACAGTGAAAGGTCAGCAGGCAGCACTTCTGCCTCTTCCTAGCTGTGTCCCTGCAGCACAGGCCTCAATCCTTGCACGGGGCTGCTTAGTATTTTGCCGAGTGATTGTCCCAGGCCCCTCCATACAGCTTGAGATCCCTACATTGAGCCTCTCGTTTCTTACTCTCCTTGGAGCCAGTGCCCTTTAAGTCCAGAAGCAGGATACGACGAAGAGAAGCAGATCCATTCCCACTCTTGGTTACACCCAGGGCTGGCTTCAGTGTTTTTGCTGTCCCAGGCGGCGGGAAAAAAAAAAGCCGTGATCGGCGGCACTTCAGCAGCAGCTCTACTACCGCCGCTTCATTTTTTGGCGGCAGGTCTGAGGGACTCGCCGCCGAATTGCTGCCGAAGAGCCGGACGTGCCGCCCCTTTCCGTTGGCCGCCCCAAGCACCTGCTTGCTGCGCTGGTGCCTGGAGCCGGCCCAGGTTACACCCCCTGGAATCCCTCCTGAATACAACAGGCTGTGTAGAGGTCAGTGGGAACAGGGTTTGGCTCAATGTCACTAGAAAAATGAAACTTCACCCATGTGGGGTTGGTGTCAAAGCTGGCAACAGAGCCACGGGGCACTAGCTCCAGAGCGAGATGCTCTCGCATAAGGCATTGCTACAACACTGAGGGTCCCCGAGGAGACAGGGTCTCTGGGTGAGGAGACTGAAGTAAGAGCTCTGGGGCTGCTGAGAAAAATCGAGAGTCGTGTAGCTGAGACCTGGTCTACACTAGGAAATGAAGTCGGTAGAACCATGTTGCACAGGGTAGGGTGACCAGATGTCCCAATTTTATAGGGACAGTCCTGATTTTTGGGTCTTTTTCTTATATAGGCTCCTATTACCCCCCCCTCCCCCGTCCCGATTTTTCACTCTTGCTGTCTGGTCACCCTAGCACAGGGGTTTGAAAAATCCACCCCCCTGAGCGACGCAGTTAAGCCAACCTGAGCCCCGGTGCAGACGGCGCTAGGTTAATGGATTACCTACGCCGACAGGAGAACTCCTCCTGTCAGTGTAGGTAGTGTCTGCACTGAAGCACTCCAGTGGCAGCTGCACCGCAGCAGCGTTTTAAGTATAGACAAGCCTTGGGAGACAAAACTCCAGGGGAAAGGCCAGACAGACCAAGAGCCCCGGATTGCCCAGGAATACTGGGAGAAACTGCATGGAGATGATAAGGCAGGAAGCAGATGGGTGGGAGGGAGGAATCCCAGAGGGATGCAGAGAAACTCTATTGGCCCTGGAAGTCCTCATGCGGGAGAAACGGGTCAGGCAGCACGAGCTGCAGAACCAAACACAAATGGTCTCCACACCTCTCTGGGTGAACAGCTTCCTGCGGAGGGCTCTCGAGCGGCCGTGGCAGACACAGGTAGAGCGCTAAGAGCTCTCCAGAAGTTTGCCCTTCCAGCAGAGCACTGACAGGCCAAAGGAATGCCGTGCTGGAGAGCAGCTGAGAGTCAGTGTCTCTCCACACAGCCCTACAGCAGACTCTATTGCTGCACAATATGCTGAGGTGGATCTTTGCAAAAGGCAATCCATTTCTGCCTCACACCTTCCCCCTGTGCATCCCAGAGTGCACCGTCTGTACGCTGGAAGCAGGCAGTGCAGAGCAAACCACAGAAATTGATTCAGCATCTGGCGGCATTGCCCCCTTGGTAGCCATTAGGAAAACAAACAGCACTTACTTAGACAAACTAGCCTCAACAAGAGAGAAGTGGTAGAAGATTGGTGTGGCTTTAGCCTAGACTTGGGAGCCAGGAACTCCCAGCTCTGACACCAACTCACTACGCGATCTTGGGGGTAAATGTCATCTCTTCTCTGTGCCTAGTTCCCCAGCTGTGAAGAGGATAACACTGACACTGGGTGCTGTGTTAGTCAACATGTGTATGGTGCTTTAATGATATGCTCTGACACAGTGTTAAAAGGGAAAACAAGGAGTTATGACTCCAGTAACTGCCCTCTCATCGCCTGCCATCACGAGTTGAAATGAAAACACTACCAGCAATTTAGCTCCCCCATCTCCTAAAAGATGGGCTCCAGGGGAGAACCCCTGGGCAACCAGGACCAACTCCTGGTCAAGAACAGCCCATAAACAGACATCGCCTTTCCTCCCAGACGGGCTGGGGATCATGTCACTGACTGCAGTCACCATTACGTAGTGCCCACTGCCCAACAGCACCATTCATGGGGTTCTTCCCTGAGCCCCAGAGGGAGCGCGTGGGAAACCAGGGAGTGTGGATTCCTTCATCCATAATAGCTCTGGATAACTTCCTCCCCACCCCATTTCCTGCTGGCCCAGCTCTGCCCTGACCCTCTTGTGACACATGCTCGTGAAAGCTGGGAATGGGTTATGCTAAGAGGCTACTTGGGGATGCAGGGAGGTTTGGTGGCCAAGAGTGGGGGTCAGGTCCAGGAAGCTGCTGACACAGGATTGTGAGATTCTGGCTGCTGAGCGGACCGGCCATTGCTTGTCAGTGGGGAAGGGTGTGGTGGTAGTAGGAGGTCTCTGTAGCTGGGATGGGGGCTCTTGCTCTGAGTCTTATCACAGGCTTTGGATAGGCCTCTCTGTCATGATACCTGCAGGACCATTCTATGATAGCTATTATTGTGGCCAAAGGGATGAAGGTCCCAGCAGACCCAGGCCTCCTGCTTCCCAGCTCAAGTAGCCTTGGTTCCCTGTGTAACTCAGCATCAGGGACACCTCATGATGCTGAAGGGGGGGGGGGAGAAGACCACAAGCACCCCCAGCCAGAACACAAACAACTGCAGTGACATCACAAAGGCCTCTCCTGGCCAGCCAGCTAACGGTACAGGGCCTGTGCTAGCCCACCACGAACTGTGTTCATCCAGGGAACTTAGAGGGAGACAACTTGCTCTTACTAGAGTTGTTTTACCCCGTGAATCCCTCTGCCTGAGCCCCTGGATGTTCTCTCTGAGCGTGAGTTCGGCATTCTGAATGGCCCCCCTTCCCAGATGCTCTGGCCTGGATTCAAGTCGATTGACTAACCCAGGCAGGCTGCATGCCTCTTTCGGGTGGGTACACACATCCAGCCTTCAACGGCTCTGATGGAGGTAGCTTGGGTCACTCACCTTACGATGGAGGTCAGGGGCAGTCCAAAGCTGTCCTCCGAGCGGCAGGGGCTGTGAAAACCATTCTTCCCCCTTCTCCCCTGCTCCTCTTCCCTCTCGGTCCAGGGGGCATCAGTGGCAGAGCTGGTTCCAGAATCTGGCTCCAGGTGGGCCAGAGGGGCAAAATTCTGCTCAATTAGCTTGGCGCTGTCTCGGATCTGGTCCTGTATTTCCGGGGTGAGGATTGGGAGGTCAAAGGTGAAATAGGTACCACAGGTACGGGCTGGGGAGGAGAGAACATCAATTGAATCTAGGCTGGTGTAGGACGTCCCCTTGGCTCGATGGGACTCCATGATGCTCTCAAAATGCTTGCTGAAAGAGTCCATCCCATCCTTGGAGAGGCTGTGTCCCAGGAGGAAGGGCACTGGTGACTTGAGCAGGCCCTGTTCATCTCTGTCCATGATCCTGGGGGGGGAGGGGGAAGAGAAGGAACAGTTGGTTAGTGAGGAGCATAGAACGGCGCACTCCTTGCCCTCTGCTAGCCCATCGGTTCTAAATTCATCTGCTACTGAGACCGATAACTGGGAAGGATAGCATCTCCTCGGAACCAATACAGGACCATAACCCACTGGGGAGTCAGGTTATGGGGAAAAAGCCTGGCCAGTCAGCTAGGACATTGCACACACTGCCTCACGTTGGAATCTGAACCGCTCTGCACCTAAGTGCTCTGGATGCACATGCCAATGAATAGAGCACAGACTTTGTTCCCCTCCAGGGGCTCATCCACAAAGACCAATGACTCCGCTACTGCAACCAGACTTTGTCTGTTGGCTCAGGCAGTAAAGGCTCATTCTTTTAGACACAGAGGTCCTGGGTTCAGATCCCATTGAGGACCCAGCCCTATGCCCCATGATCAGATCTGTAATGGGATACAAAGCCTTTCTCCCCTAGGTCACCGGTTTGAACCCAGTCCAGATCAGAAGTGATCAAAAGTCATTACGATCTGACAGTATGGGCTGTTAAATGAGGTAGACTACAGCCAGCCAATCAAATTGAGCATGAAGCAGTAAGCAGCTTTCCAGCAAAATGAAAACAAATCCACTTCATTCATAAAAGTACAAACAAACAGAATCCCAAAACCCCTCTCAGCTGATATACCGCCATCAGTTTAATAAAGTAAAGGGAAATTACTTTAGGCCATGCCCGTTTCCAATTGGCTAGAGCACTGGAAAATTTATCCAATCAGAAAGCATTCTATCCCACTGCTAGGTTACTGGACCCTATGAACACATCTTCATTCAGAGGACTTGGAAAACTCATTGTCTAAACACCTGCTGTCTCAGTGATTGAATGTCATTAATTCATTAACCTGCTCAAAACACAACTCTGGTAATCTCACTAGGCCAACCTCTCCATGACTTCAGGGGGGGTTGCCTAAGCAAGCAGTAGGTAAAGAGTGGAGAAACCCAACCTTATATACGATATTCTCCACTTCTGTTGTGCAGTGTTACTTGGGTGCTCAAACGTCCACCATGTTCCACCCCATAGGTGGCTGCATTTCAGCGGTGGGTAAAATGACTGCTCTACATGGTAAAAATCAGTCTATTATATTTTATGGAGGCCTTTGTTTCCCCCAAGAAGAAAGATGCCATAGAAATGTAAATTCCCTATCATTATAATTCAGGAAGTGTACTATTAAATCAACTTAACAATGCCTGGATCATTTGTCATTAGAGTCCATCTGGAGTCCCATGTGCTGTACCAGAGGCCAAGGATTATTGCTGTGAATGGGATGCAGCATAGGGCAGCAGCAATGGCACCAGGACAGAAGAATATCCATTAAGGGAGCTGGGCAGATTCTCACTGGAAAAGCAGAGGTCAGGGAGGTGACCTAGGCCAGGTTATGAAATAACAGATGGGCCGGACGGGGATGGTTCCCACACCCTGTTGGGGATCAGAGCAGAGGGGCACCATCTTAGCAAGAGGGAACTGCAGGCCAGGGGTAACAGACATGGGGGAGAAGACGGGAGCAGAGCACAGATTGTAATCGGGCTCCTGCGCAGAAGCACGGACAAGAAACAAATCATTTCCAGATGCCAGTCACATGCACTTGGGCAAGAGACACAGAGAATCCTTTCCAGAAGGGGAAGGGATCGTGGGAGAGGGGAAGGAGGTAAAGGACAGTAGGGGCGGCACTGCTTCTGGAGGGTCTTCTCTGTGCTCCTGCCTCGTTAGTGGTCCATACTGACAGATACAGGCCCACTGAACCAGCAGGATGCAAACTCTCATTGCTGTTATTGTCCCAACCATACCCACTTCAAGGTGTAATTACACGAGGGGAGAGAGCTGCGGCTTCAGCATCCCCAGCACTGTCAGCAGCATCCAGCTGCTGTATGGCAGCATGCCCTTTCCTGGGTCAGCACACGATCTCCAGCTGGAGTCGACCACAGACACAGAGGCAGCACACACTCCCACGACCGCCTCCTGCTTTGTATGCAGCTCCTCTGCTAAGACAGTCAAGAGCCTACTTCATCTTTTATTGCAGCTCTTCTCTACACCACTGTCAATGGATTTTTTTCCAGAAGGCCCCCCGCCCCCTCCATCCTGCCAGAGACAGTGCTGGTTAATTCTGTCATTTAGCACCTACATGAACTGATCTGTGGCCCCAGGCTAATTAGGAGCATATTTATTGCCACAAAAATCAGGCCCCTGGCTCATTGCTGCTACTCTGCTGTAGTTTGAAGTTACTAGCAATTGTTTTTTGTAAGCAATTCTCACCAACTTGCTGTCCTCTTCCTTTAGCAGATACTTAATAAAAATACACAGGAGTGAACTCATTGGACTATTCACTCCCCTTCATTATGGGCCAGAGAAATCAACAGGGTCACTTGTAAAATAAGGTGTAAGGTATCCAGAATCTGGCCCCGATCATCGCATGTACAGATTTTAATGGAAGTTAGGCACCTAGATATCCTTTAGGATCTGGGCGCCTGTGATTCCGTTTCCCATCACTGGGGCTCTGATTCAGCAAAGCGTTTAAGCAAATGCTTAAGTCCCCTTGGAGCCAGTGTAATCATGTGTTTCTAATTAAGCACAGGCTTAAGTGTTTTGCGGAGTCATCGCTTGCACCTGTTTTTAATTCATAGGACTTTGCCTCTCACCCCATAGTTATTTACTGTCCTTAAAGCAAGGCTCTACTCCCCGGAGTGGCTCTCTGAACATGGCATTATGGGGCTCCCTGAGTATTGGGTCTCAGGGCAGGTCTTCGCTATGGGGGGGGGGGTTGATTTAAGATACGCAAATTCAGCTACGCGAATAGCATAGCTGAATTTGACCTATCGGAGCCGACTTACCCCGCTGTGAGGACGGCGGCAAAATCGACCTCCACGGCTCCCCGTCGACGGCGCTTACTCCCATCTCCGCTGGTGGAGTAAGAGCGTCGATTCGGGGATCGATTGTCGCGTCCCGACGAGACGCGATAATTTGATCCCCGAGAAATCGATTTCTACCCACTGATTCAGGTGGGTAGTGTAGACCTAGCCTCAGTCATTTCCAGAGCAAACCTGCTCCATGTGCAAGTAAAAGATGGTTTCCTCACTGACTGCCAGTCCTGCAAACTCACCTGGGATCTGAGTTTAGCTGGGTCTCCCCTTCACATACCATCAATAATGCTGATGGTTCTGCAGGCCAGATTCTGCCCTTGGTGACACGTGTGCAACCCCACGTGAGGTTTGCACAGGTGCAACTGATTGGAATGTAGCAAACAATTCTGAGGCAGAGCAGAGTAGAATCCAGCTCCCTCTTTTAACTGCGAGCATGCCTGCATTGCAGGCAAAGATGTGATGGCAGCATGGAAGGGTTAGCTTTGATTTAGCTAGCTCGAATAACAATAGCAGTGAAATCATGGTAGCTCGGGCAGCAGCATGGCTAGCTACTCCAGGTCCCTCTTTGTCGGCAGGTCTGCATCTACACTGGGGGTTTTGTGTACATAGTGACGTTGCTACGGGGGGGGGTTCCACACCCCTGACTGACATAGCTATCCCGGTATAAGCTTTCAGCATAGACCAAGCCTCAGGTTCGTGATTACAGTCAGCAGAGCTGAAGATCCCCTGGAAGTAAGAAGGTGCCCTTTCTCCACTCACTTTTCCTCTCTGGTTAGCTTGTGTTTTCCTTTCCCCTTTGCTGACCAGCCTGCTGGTAGCCATGTGCTCCTGGCTCTGGCATTTGTCGCCCCCTAAGGAAAGTCCCCTCTATTGTGACAATCAGTGTAACCACACAGTGCTCGCTGATGCTTGGGGGAGCAGCCACCCTAACTCTCCCTTGCAGAACTACTCCAAATGCCTAAGGCCAAATTTCTCCAGACTCCAAGAGATGCAGGTAGGTTTCTAGTAGGGTTTCTAAGAGAACCCAGGCACCTAATGCTCATTGCTTCCAATGGTAAGGGTGAGGCGTTTTGAAAATCCCACTAGCTGCCCACCTGCATCTTTAGATGCCTAAAAGACCTTTAAAATCCAGCCCTTATTAACTTCCACAGTGGCAGCTTCCAAAACATGCTGATCTACAAAGCAGGCCCAGAGGGATCTCAGATTGCTCCTCTCAGTCACAGCCTGGTGGGCCACTCACCTGCTTGAAGGGGCAAATTAACTCCACTGCGGCATGCTCTGCTCAGCGTTTGTACCTGTCTGACTATGGGGGTTATTTATTACTGCTCTGGTTATCCCAGTACAACCCATCAGGGGGGTGCTCTCATTCCAATATAAATGTGCCTTATACTGGTAGAGCTAATCCTCTCCCCCCATGGGAATAGAGGGGTTGTAGTGCATTAACTACTCCAGTATAGTTAAAGCAGTACAACTTCTGTGTGTAGACAAGGCCTCACTGCACTAGCAGATTTGGCAACTTGAGCCTCTTAACAGACAAGGTCTTGGTCCCCTCTCTGATCGGGAGGCCCGTCACACAACCCTACAGTACTGGTACGTTACTGGAGGGCCATGGAAGAATAAGGCAGTCAGCGCGGTACAGTGATATCCACATGGTAGGAGTGATAGATTGAGTGATCCATGCAAGGGAAAATGCAGCTGGGTGGTATGATTCCACACTGGCCCAACGGGGGAGCTGTTTGTTCTGGCTCCCATCACATTAGAAGAGCCATTCAACAGTAGGGAAAAGAGTGGGGTTGGGGCTGGAAAGAAGAGGGAGCAGCTGTGGTGTGTTTTCACCGTGTGATGACTAACCCGTGAGCTGCCCACTGTGAAGACACAGTGAGACGAGGTAGTGTAGTTTCACCACAAGGTAGACTAGATGAGCTCGTCCCTGGCATGGGTGTAGTGCTCTCCTCATCTTGTCACCTTGCAACAAACACTACAAGTGCCTAGGATTTTCCTGCAAGAGAACTACCCCCTAGCTGCACCACAGCCTCCCTCGGCCAGGTGTTCAGCACAGCAAGGCTGCCATCCTCTGCCGGTGGCTGCTCAGTGCATGCAGAATGGCTGTCCTCCCTTACTGTGACCAGAAAGATGATTCCTTGATAAGGGGAGTAGACAGTCTGCTCCTTCCTGAGATCCACCTGTGACAACGCTGTCTCACCGGAGACACAGAAAGGGCAAGCCCAGAAGTCCCCCAGAATACCTTGACGTTGCAGCCTACAGTTTGCTGCAGGACAGGTCTCCAAGTCCTCAGTCTTTGTCTGAACTGGAGTCGCAGACCCCAGAGCCACTCGCATCTGATCACATGGGGCTCATGGAGAGCCATCGCATGTACAGCTCCTGATGAGACACAGTGGGCCACAACTGGCTGGCTAATTCCACTGGCCTCCTGGCTCCAGCCAGGATCCTCACCCAATGTGCAGTGACCAGCTAGACTCATGTGGAAGCCTCATTTTGGTAAGCCCCACTTTGGCCCGGTGGGACAGGAGGGAGAGGAGAGAATCATCTCACACATCACACTCAGACGGACACAGCCCTTATGTTTATAAGCACAGCCGCAGCGGTGGACAGCTGCTGGCTGTGCCTGGGGCCCATTCCCCAGCTGGGGAAGCGGGAAGTCAGTCCTGCACGTGCAAAGCCATCTAGTGTTGGGTGTGTCGAACTGGCTGGGTGATGTCCCAGTCACCTGCCCTTACAGGATGGAGAGATTAAACTAGCCACAAGATAGAGAATAGTCCCTGTAAGAACCAAGAGGTGGACTGGATCTAGGGCCTGATGCAAAGGCCATTCAGGTCAATGGGAAGCATCCCACTGACTTCAATGGCCTTTGGATCAGGCCCCAAGCCCTAGCCACTTCATGATTCGTCTCTCCATGCTCCCCTGGTGTGGCATTCATCCCAGCGCACCTGTCCCTTCCCTCATTCTACCATTACCCTACTCACGCTATTCTCCACGCCTCGCTCTCACCCCATGCTGTCCCTTCAGAAAGCATTTTGTGTTAATAAGTAATACGTGCAGGCAAAAAATTATACCTGGCTTGCTCTTTGTACTGAGAACTCTCTCCATCCCAAAAAACTTTGCAATCTCATGCCCTAGCTATGCATAGAAAATTGCTCATCTAGTACTGAAATGCAGACCCCTCTGGGGTGGAGCATGGCAACTGCTGGACAACGCACAGCAACACTACGCGACAGTTTAGGACAGGCAGTGAAGGACACTAACGCCCAGCTGAAAAAGCTCGGCGGGAATTTAGGGAGGCAGAACGTAGTTATCCTGGTTGGAATTTGACCCTTACTTGCTAGAAGGGCTTTAGGGTCTCTGATCACCCCAAGTGACCTTAGTTCTATGTCTCCAGCAGCTCCCACAGCACAGCACTTCCTGCTGACTCACCAGCACCATTGGTTTTCTTTAGCAGTTTCCCATCTGAGTGCATCACTCAATAATTCCCCTGTCCCGTTCATTCCCTCTGAAGCACCTGGCATTGGCCACTATTGGAAGACAGGATGCTGGGCTAGACAGACCATTGGTCTGACCCAGTATGGCTGTTCTTATGAGTGCTGGCCAGTCCAATCCTCCTTAACTTGTGGTACTGGACAGGACCCCAACCCAATGTGAGGATGCTCTACACAAATACACTGAATTGTACAGGTCACGTGTGTCTGGTTTGGGTGCTTGTCCGCAGTGTACTTGATAGAGAACAGAGCAGCCCACCACAACGCATCAGCTCACTGCCCCTCAGCAAACCTCACCTGCCCCTGTTCTCCTGCCTCGTTGCCTCAAACACCTCGTCATCCTCGTCCATCTCTTCGCCCTGCATCCCGTTCCTCAGACACTTCCCGTCCTGCTCTCCCCTGCGCTGGGGAAAGGGGTCCTCTGGCACGCTGTTCCTTCTCCCCAAGGTTCCTGTGACACTCGGATTGCTCTCGCTGTCCTTCTGGCTCTCGATGGCCGAATCCCCTTCGTCCTTCTCAGCCAGGATATCATCAATATTGGTCTCGCGATAGCATCGCAGCGGCACCGAGTCCAGATCCGTCTCCGAATACTTCACCGTCCTCCTTATGATGCCAGTTTCACAGGATCCTGGCTTCTTACTGCCTGCAGGAGCCATCTCTATTTCCACCTCGACGTGACACAAGCTGCGCTCCGCCATTGGTTTCTCTGATTCTGGCGGCAGCTGGTGGCTGGGCTTTTGCAGGGGCTTTGCCAGTGATGGAGACTCAAGAGGTGTCTGGGGGGAGGTGCCTGGAACAGAGAGATCCCAGAGTGTTTACAAACGAGCAGCTGTAACCTCGTTCTAAGAGCAACCCAGCCTACACTTCAAACGAGGGAGCTGCACCTGAGAAATGCAGAGAGACCCATTCTGCAGCTGCAACGTAGGAACACCTCCAGTGTAGTTAGTTCAGCCTGGAGCAGCAGCATAACTGGGCCAAGAGAAGGGGTGAATCCACAGGGACAAAGGTAAGAAGGAAGGTACTGGGGCAAAGTCCAAAAGGAGAATCACCTCTGCCAGCGTGTCTGAGTGTTTGGGGTGGCTAGACGTACCCAGAACTGTACAGGTGGGGCCCACACCATGCTGGCCTACCCAAACTGGGTTTTTAACCCTGAGCCCTCCTCAAAACAGGAAACAAAGAGCTGCGTCCAGCAACCCAGAGTCAGCACGGATGGATTTGCTGACACCACAGTGGAGCTTAGGGGTTTGGACAAACAGACTCCGATGGCAGCAGAGCCGCTGGCCTCAGAGGGATGAGGGCCTGGCCATTTCGAGCCTGGATTTTATTAGATAGGCCCAAGCTGCAGAATTTGCATCCAGCTTTCCAAACTCCCCGTCATAAGGCTCAGGGAGGGAGGGCTTGGTTCCGGGGTGGGTTCGGCTGGACCAGGACAAAGAAAAGGCCAGCCAGAATATTCAGATCTGGATTTAGCAAGCAGATGTCAGTCGCAGTGGAAGGCGACGCTGTCCCTCATCCCCACCCCTAATCATGAGGGACCCATTACCTGTCCCCGGAGAGTCCAGTGAGCCATAGAAGAATTCCCACTTGGCCTTGGCAATGCGCTGGGCATGGGCTGAGCTCTCCCGGGAACATGCCCACGAGCCCCCCTGCAGGAATAAAAGAGCATGTTAGCTGGGAGCCTCCCAGAAGGGAAGGGACAGGGAAGCAGGTATGTGGCCTCTGAAGGCGAGGGCCCGGCTCTCCCTCAGAGACACGCTGGACAGTACCTGGTCGTGGGGCTCCATGCCCAAGGGGTTGCGCAGGAGCGCTGAGATGTGCTCAGATGGTGTCCCCAGCCCATTGGAGAGGGAGCTGAAGAGGCAGTTGGTGTTCAGAGCATGGGGCAGCCCTGCTGCCCTTCCGTTGCCAGGACTTAGAGAGGGCTGCTTGCCCACAGGAAAGCGGCTACCGGCCAGGAACGGATCTGAGGCAGAGACCTCCAGCTTCAGCTTCCGACTGAGGTGCTCCTGGAACAGGCTGTTCTGGGCGGGTTGGGGGCACGTGTCTCCAGGTGGCCCCCTCACAGAGCCACACGGGGGCGGCCGGGCTGTCAGCCGCAGGCTCTCACTTATGCCCTGCCTGGTGCCTGGGGAAGGCTGGCTTTGCATGGCGGGGCAGGAGCTCCCCTCTTTGCTGGAACCGCAGCGGACGGCCTCCCCGAACTCCAAGCTGCGGCTCAGGCCATGGGGACTTGGCCCGTTCTCCCTCCTGGGCTCACCCGATGGGAGGCCATTGAGGGTTTTCACGCTAGCCTTTTCAATGAAGCGGAACGTCACCACAGAGCTCTGCCCCTCGGGCGCCGGGGCCACCAGCGGGCTGCGGCTGCCCGGGGAGGACAGTAAGGAGCTTTGCCTGCTTCTCAGTGGGGTGCACGGTGCTGTCACCCGCCCAGAGCTTGGGCAGTTGCCGTTGCCAAAGGGGCCAGCGTCTGGTGCCTTGCGGATTAAGGAGCCGGTGCTGTTATACATGCCCAGCTGACACCGCCGCGCCTCGGGAGCCAGGCTCTTGCGCAGTAACTGGATCCTGCCCGTGCTGAGATTGGGCGTGAGGCAGCGCTGCGGGCTGGAGGCAGTGGACTCCATGCTCTTGGTGGCAGGCAGCCAGGGTCTCCGATCCAGGTTGCGGGCAAACCGCGGGGGCGACACGGCGCAGTCTCCTTCAGGGCGGAAGCGCACGACTCCTCCTGCCTGGGCCATCACAAAGGAGGAATCAGGTTTGAAGCCAAAAGGGGTGGGGCAGGGAGGAGGAGCTTTTCCAACACCCGTGAGCCGAGAGCTCCACCAGAGGGTGACGCATACTTACGCGGCCCTGAAACAAAGGAAAAAGCAGCAAGTTAGGGCAAAAATACAATCAAAGACACAGAAAAGGGAGAGATACGGACCGGACCAAGGCCCAGCACTATCCTAAGTCACCAAGGCTCCTCGGCTCCCCACACAGGGATCGCGCTGGTGTAAGTGAAGGCAGAATTTGGCCCAGCTGGTGTACAAAGAGAGAGAGAGAAAACAGGGCTACAGCCTCACAACTGGCCACCTAAATGGCATAATGAGGCAGGGCTTGAAGTGGCCTGAAAAAGGTGGGGGGCGGAAGAGGGAGAATCTATCATTTTCTATAAATTAAAGTAACATCACACCTGCCTGTCCCCCCTGCCCTCATCAATTTTGGCCTCAAGTCTGTTCTGCTCTCCCAGCCCCACCTCTGCTCCTCCAGCATCTCTAGGGCTCTTCCCCCCCATCACCCAGGCCTGGGGGAACCTAAGGGAAGCTGCCTATCCCCCTCCCACAGGCTGGGTGTTGCAGAGGGAAGGAGGGAACAGCAGAAGCACCACCCGGTTATTCCCAGGAGCTGCAGCTGCCTGCTGCAGGAGCCCTGATTGGCTGCTCTCCCCAGCACCCCATCAACAACATGGTTGCAGTTGTAGGCATTTCTTTTGCCCACTGAGCATCCTCTCTGGACCAGGCACACTTTAAGCCCGGCAACTAGAGGCCTGTCTCATTCTAATGCACGACTTGCATGTGCAGAGAGCCACTGAGGTGAGCAACGACCTCATCTGCATGCACAACAGATAGGGTGACCAGATGTCCTGTTTTTATAGGGACAGTCCCGATATTTGAGGCTTTTTCTTATGTAAGCTCCTATTACCCCCCACCCCCTGTCCCGATTTTTCACACTTGCTATCTGGTCAGCCTAACAACAGAGCTTGGCAGCCCTGAAAATCTGAGGGAGAGTTAAAAAACGCAGAGAGGACATGTGCATGCATGGGTGTGTATGCACGAGCAGCCCCAAGAGGAGAATCTGGCTCTTTGTGTATAAGGCAGACAGTGTGAAAGAGAGAGAGAGGTGGGCATGTGACTTGATCATCCCATTCAGTGCCAGCGTAATTGGCCCTGGGAAACTGCCCCCAAGGCCAGCAGTGGGATGCTGTCTCAGTACCCAGGGTGGACAGCACACGCCAGGGAGGTTAGTAGTTCTCTCCCAGCCCCTCCCTTCGGCGCAGGAACCACCAGGTCCAGGAACAAGACTGCCACAGGACTCTGCATCCTTTACAGGGAAGGAGTCGTGAGCCCCAGCCCTGCTCTTCCAGCATTCACCATCACCTGCTGAGCAGGAAGCCACTTAGCATTCAGTAAGGACTAAGTTACAGCTGGAAAGTCCGAGTTCTCATCCCCTCTCAATCTCTCTCTTCCAAGGTTGGTAAGAGCAACAGGAACATCGTGACAACACAGGCAGCTTGTTTCAAGGCAATGGATGTCTGATGCTGCTGACATCTCCCCTTTCTGCTGGTCTCGACCCTGTCTATTATTGTTGTCACTTATTTCTGTTGTTGTTCCACCATGCTTCCAGCACACCCACCACTACCCCAGGAACTGACTCTACCCATTCCTAGGGCTCAACCAGGTCACAGTTCCTGAAGGCATGCAACAGGCTTGCCCTTCCCAAGGCATCTGGAGACCTAGACAACCATCCCTCCATTCAGCTAATCCCATGCACAATCGACTACTTCACCTATCACAGTCCAAACTGGGAGGAAGTCTCCTAGGAAACGAAGCAGACATAAGAAACCAGCTTGCAGACATCTCACACCTGCACACTGCACAGGACCTTTTCCTTGGCACAGTCCAGGGGCAGGCAGCACAAAACAACACAAATTGTGCTGATCAGTGCAAGAGCTGCCAATAGACAATACACAACCTCTTCAGAGATGAAACACCCATATAGCCTGTGATATCTGATACTGCAAGCCCAGTGCTAGCCCACCTCATCTCCCTGGGATACTTGGCGCATCGCAGACCCAGACAGGACAAGACAGCAGGAGGCTCTCCATTAGTCTTCTCTGCAAACTTCAAATCCACGAGAGGTCCCTCAGGTGAGACAAGTTCATTCAAGTTCACGCGTCTGACAATAGAAAGCAGAGCCAAAGCGAACAGATTTTATGCACAGACTAAAGGATTTATCAAGGAGCTCACGGATGGCTTGTTGGCAACGATCATGAAATACCCTGGACTTGTCATCCTGGGGTACTTCAGCAGACATGCTGAGAAGCCCAAAAACTCATCTCCCCATGCGACTCCCTAGGACTCTCATTGGTCATCTCTAGTTCCACCTACACAGCCAGCCACACTTGATCTTTGGCCTAGAGGGCAATACTGAGGCCATCACAATCCAGCCGCTGTTTTGGACAGACCATCACATTGCTAAGTCAGCTCCCAGGCAACAAAAGAGATCCAGGAACCTGAGGCCATCATGAGAACTCCTAGACTCCGCCAAATTCCAAAGCCTGCTTAAGGACAGCGGCACAGGGAGAGAAGCCATGGATCTGGTGAATCGTTGTCACTGATGAAAAGAGATGGTGGGAAATTGAGTACCAATGGCAGAACCTGAAGGCTGATACAGACAGGAGGAAATATAATACATTCCTCCAAGATACACTGAAGCTGTATTATAAGACAAGAGAACCTTCCTATCAGCTGCCACATCCCACCCCAAATCAGAACTGATTACCAAGCCCCCCGCCCTGAGCACTACCCACGCAGTTGGGCACTGTTATGATCATAGGGCCTACAAATCTACCCCAACCATAAGTTTAACTGTAAGAAGAGTTTATACAATGTCCCAATAACTTGTAACAACAAATGTTAATGGGAAAGTGCAAGAAAACCAGACAGAAAAACTGAATTAGTCTAAACCAAAAAGGCCATGTTGCTGTAATCCAAGGACAGTGGAAATTATGCTTGTTAAAAACAGACAAGGTGGAGCTGGAAATTAACCATCCAAAATTGGCACGTCAGATATTAGGCCTAATTGGTAGACAAAATAGCGAGGGGGTGGGCTATCCTATCCAGTCCTCCCTTTCTGAGTCCTTAAAAGAAAGATTTTTTGGGGGGTGGGGGAAGAACATTTGAAAGAACAACAAGGGAGAACAAACACTGGCTACTGGAGTGAGCTTCAGCATCATGGCTGCCAACCCCACCATCTCCTGGGACCTTCTTCGTCCTAAGCTTGAGGGATGCCCTGACCAGAGAGAGGGACCCATATGACAACACCACCCCTACCAGCTCCAGCTGAATGCCAACCACCACCGGGGATGAAAGGACTTTAGTTTCAGCAGCATAAGAACATAAGAATGGCCATACTGGGTCAGACCAAAGGTCCATCCAGCCCAGTATCCTGTCTACCGATAGTGACCAATGCCAGGTGTCCCAGAGGGAGTAAACCTAACAGGTAACGATCAAGCGATCTCTCTCCTGCCATCCATCTCCACCCTCTGACAAACAGAGGCTAGGGACACCATTCCTTACCCATCCTGGCTAACAGCCATTAATGGACTTAACCTCCATGAATTTATCTCATTCTCTTTTAAACCCTGTTATAGTTCTAGCTTTCACAGCCTCCTCAGGCAAGGTGTTCCACAGGTTGACTGTGCACTGTGTGAAGAAGAATTTCCTTTGTTTTAAACCTGCTGCCCATTAATTTCATTTGGTAGACCCTAGTTCTTATATTATGTGAACCAAGTAAATAACTTTTCCTTATTCACTTTCTCCACACCACTCATGATTTTATATACCTCTACCATATCCCCCTGTAGTCTCCTCTTTTCCAAGCTGAAAAATCCTAGCCTCTTTAATCTCTCCTCATATGGGACCTGTTCCAAACCCCTAATCATTTTAGTTGCCCTTCTCTGAACCTTTTCTAATGCCCGTATATCTTTTTTGGGTGGCGCAGCAACAGCAGCTCCACCCATCTCAACTACCCACTTCTCTTTTCCCCAGGACAGCTATTACCATCTTTGATACCATCTAAGAGACTGTCAACCAAGGGGTTTTTTCCTTCTAAAACTCTCGCCAGCTACCGGGAAAGGGAACAAGAAATGTTAAAATTAAAGCCTGACTTAATACTTTACATTTCAAATGCTTTGCTGTTTTTTTCTTCTTTTAATAAAAGGTTTAAAAGGTGTGTGCACCATGGTCCTGAGCTCTCTGTATACCCGGGCCTTGTTTAACACGGTTTAATGTTTGACAGTGACTGGGTTACATTAATACCTTAAGCCCGTATATTCCATCTGAATTAATACAACAGCACCCGTCAATGGAAGGCCTTAACCTCCACTCCCCATTCTAGTGGGGTTTCTTCCACACTTTTTGATGTTGGGGGGTTTCTTCCACACTTCTTGATGTTGAATGGCCAGAACATGTGAGGAGAGTGTGTGGGGGGGGGGGGAGGGGGAAGCGGTGGAGCATATGTGGGTTTGAAAGAGATTTCAAAATGGGCTGCCTTTTGGAACAGATGGTAAATTCTGGAAGTGCAGAATTCTGGACCCCTGCATGTACTAAAGTCCCAGGGCCGGCCTTTGGGGAGGATGGTCCGGGGGGCGGCACAGAGCACCCTGCCAAAGAGGGCGCCATGTGAAGGGTTTGCCTGAGTCCCACCTGACCTGCCGAGAGCCAGCTGGGCTGGTGGAGGCAGCAGGCAGGCAGGCGAGCAGCAGTGTCTGGAGAGGGCAGAGAGACCCAAGCCGCTGGGGAGAAGCTGAACAACCATCCAGGTGACTTCTCCAGAACAGGGGTGCCCCTCCTCCCCCCTGCTCCACTGCTGTGTGCAGCCACCACTGCTCCTGTCCCCCCCTCTTCCCCTGCATTCTTCCCCTGGAGCCCCTGGCCATTCCAGACTGGGAGCGTCCTCTGCTGTGCGTGGTGCGGGGAAAGGTTGTTGTCGGGGTGTCTCCCTCACCCCACCTATGTACCCAGTCTCCGCTGAGCTGACAGGACAGGGGGAATCTGGCTGTGCTGCTGCCTTTCTTGGTCCAGAGCTGC